GCCGCCCTCGCGCCCGCCCGCCCCAGAAGCCATAGCGGAGACGTAGGTAGTTGTAGCTGGACGGGCGGGCCGGGCGGCGGGCAGGCCCTTCCGAGCCCACGCCGACCCCCCCATCACCCTGCGCCCACCCACATTGCCCCTGCCCCCGGCGGTGGCCCTGCCAGCGTGCGAGGGGGCCCCCTTCACCTCGGTGCCTCAGTTTCCCCAACTGTGAAATGGGGACGGGGCCACCCCGTGGCTCAGAGGAGATGGCCGTGGAGTCCCGCCCGCCCCCGCCCTCGTAGGTGGCCCACCGTCCGATGAGGATTCTGTTTAAGTGCAATACTCGGCCTGACAGCTTCCCGCTGCCCCCATCGCGCTCACGCAATAACCGGCCCGGCCCCTGTCTGCGCGTCCTGCGGTGACTTCCCTGGAGTGGGCACACGCCACGCCCTCCAGCGCTGGCACCCAGGGGATGGCAGTCCTGGCTGCACTTGGGCGTGGGGGTGAGGCTGGGGGGCGCCTTCGTGATGAATGTACTGACAAGCTGAGGCAGCAGCGCCCCCACCACGCCCCCACGCCCCACTAACGCCCCACACCCCCATTCCGCGCAATAAACGACAGCATTGGCGCCCAGCCGCCCGCACGTGATTGCTCCGCCGGGACAGGTGCGCACGGGCTCCGCTCTGCCGGCGAAGGCAGCAGTCCCGTGGGTGACGACAGCGCTTTATTTACACTATGGTACAGGGGGCCCTGGGGACAGCAGGAGGGCCGACGTCAGCTGAAGAAGTAGGTGGATCGCTTTACCTGCTCCAGGTTGAAGGCCCCTGCGCAGAGGAGAGAAGCCCATGGGTGGAACTGACCAGGAAGGGGCCCTGGGCGGGGCTTAGGGAGGGCGGGCCCAGTTGGCGGTCAGGACCCTCCCCCGTGGCCCTACCTGTTTTGGGGACTGACAGAAGGACGTCCAGCAGCCTGGACACTCTGACGTTCTTGGGCCTGAAGCGGAGAGCAGGGTGGGGGTGAGGCCAGGCAGGGCAGGGCGGGGAGGGGGTGGCTGCAATGGCAGGGGGTGGAGAGGTCGCCTCACCTGGGGCCAGAGCAGAAGCGTGCCACCAGGAACCTGGACAGGTCGTGCAGGATGGGCTGGCTGTGCAGGCGGACAAACTGCTCCCGGCACACCTGGGGATGGCAGGAGCCAGAACAAGGGTCTGAGGGGCAGGGTTGCCGCCCCCCTGCCCCAACCCCCAGGGTGAGCGCTGGGACCGACAGACGGACTGAGGCAGGGGCTGCAAGGTCCCACGTGGAGAGGACCAGGGGGAGGGCGGGGCGGGCACCTGGTTCATGACAGCGACGTCGGCTGCGTGGGTCCAGAAGCAGTCGTGCACAGACACGAACGTCAGGCCCTTCCTGCAGCAGACAGGGACTCCAGTGAGGGGGGCGCTGTCCCTCCAGGTCCACTCCAGGCCCAGCTCCTGCCCACTGGGCTTGGGATCTGAGCCCAGCAAGGCACGCCCTCCTGCCCCCCACGGCCCCCCGCCTCTGTGTGCTCAGAAACTGTCCCCTTCGGCATGCTGGGAAAGCGCTCGTCTTAGGGAGAAACTCTTGGCTTCCACGTCCCCTGTTGCTGCTCCAAACTGCTGCCTGGGTGGTCCTCAGCTCCACGCAGGGACCAGCGGGCGCTGTCCCACCAGAGGGCTCCACGTGGAGGACCGGTAGGAACACAGAGCCTGCCTGTGAACCGTGGCTCAGTCCAGTCAATGCTCCGTTAGCAGTCCTAACAGACCCGTCCTCACGCCTGCCCCATCACGCCAGGCTCACGGCCTCGGGGGACTCAGGACAGTTGTGCTAGATGCTGCGAGGCCCATGCATGTCAGGACAGCGTCTCTGAGTTCCTGGACACTGACCACAGTGCATGCCAACACTCACCTGGGTGGATGGAGAGATAGGCCACAGGGACCCCCCAGGGCTAGTTTTATTTTACACTCCGAGGGACCGTCCCTTCCCTCTCAGGCCCAGCGCCTCCCCGTCACGTGTGCCTTGCCACCCCAGGGCCTCTGTGTGCACCTGCACAGCTCCCTTCTGACGGCAGATGCAACAGACTCACGTGGCTGGGGCCCCCGCCTGCAGAACCTGACCTCACTGACTGTCTCCCACACTACGGGGGTCGCCGTCAGGGCCCCAGCAGCCAGAACAGACCCCGCCCGCGGCAGGAAGTGAGCGACCGCACGGGGCCCACCTGTAGCAGTGCAGGGCGGTGAGCATCATGTGCGAGGAGTCCAGGGAGTGGATGAAGTTGGGCGGGAAGCCATTCTTCTGCTTCAGTGTGTTGGGCTTTCTGGGGGAACCGGGGCCGAGGTGAGGCGCCCGGGACCTCTGCCTTGCCCAGTCCTCACCCAGCTGCCCCCCATCCAGGCCCAGCACCGCCCCGAGCACTCACTGGCTGGTGTCCCCACTGTTGCTGAAGGTGAGGCTCTGGATCCCACCGCCGATCTGCAGGGTTGTGGGGGGAAAGGCCGGAGGCGTGAGGCCGGCCCTGGTGCCGGGTGGGGTGGGGTGGGCTGGGGTGAGAGCGGCACGTACCAACACCTTGGAGTCGTGGTGGTAAGGCTGGATGACGGGGATGCCCAGGGGCGTGACCCACTCCACAGCGGAGCCGGTGCGGGCGATGAGCCGGGCGCTCTCGGCCAGCCAGCGCTGCAGGGGTGGGGACAGACTCAGGACGGGGCCGGTCTGGGAAGCCACGCCTGGGAAGGGTGGGCCTGGGACGTACCTGGATGGCTCGGGTGCCCGAGAACATCTCCTGGAGACTGTTGAACACCTGGCGCACGAGGTAATGAGAGGCCTCCCACACGAACTCCTAGGCATGAGCAGAGCGAGGAGGGGCAGAGCTGAGCGGCAGGACGGCCACCCCACACCCGCCCCTACGGCCCAGGGCAAGCCAACCTTACAGGGCTGTCTCAATCTCCTGAAGTCCATACCCCACGGGCCAAGGGGATGGCTCCCTCCTGTGGGTCCCTCCGCCCATCCCCGAGAGGGGAAGCGAGCCCCTCAGCCAGAGCTGCTGGCGACCACAGGCCACTGCTCAGGAGACGCGGCAGGAATTTAGGGAGAAAGTGCACACCTGAGGGAAGTCGCTGAGCTCCCGGAGGCGCTTCTCGATCTGCAGGCGGCCCCCGTAGCGGGTGACCCCATACACCACGGTCATCACCGTCTGCTTGACCACCTTACGGCTGATGAAGCCCTCCAGCACCTGGGCCACCCGCATACCCTGCTCGGCGTCCTGCCTGCGGAACACCTCCACCTGGGCAGGAGTTAGGGTT